TATTTGAAATTAACGCGACTTAAATTAACGCGAATTGGACGACAATTACTTCCAAATAAAGGAAATTAACGCGAAAGAGGAGGTAAAATTCCACAATGAAGGAAATTAACGCGATTAACGCAAAGAAACAAATATATTTTGACCGAAATATTAAAACTCAGATGAGTGAGAACTGATCTTCTCCAAGCGAGGGTGAACTAGAAATATTGTAATCAAGGCTTTAGGCTTTTACATTGTAAATGATTGAAATGCAGTGTGCAGAAAAGAGAGTTTCCTAGGTGTCAAATGTGTCCGCACAGGATCCAGAATTTGGGGTTATAATAATGGAAATTAAGGTCGCGGAAATTAACGCTCCACTTAATTAATGTCACGGAAATTAACGCTCACAAAAATTAACGCGACTTAAATTAACGCGAATTTTTCAAATTCGCGTTAATTTCATGGAGCGTTTATTTCCTATAATAAGGTAACCTTCAAAATACACATTTATTCAATAGACCTTTCTCCAAAATGGCCGCCGAAAATTCATATTAAGCTAAGCGGAAAATCAATACCAGCACCTGAAAGACCTCCTCTTGTTTTAGAATTTAGAGACGTTTGTATGACTGGGGGTATGGCGTATACCCCCAGTCATACAAACGTCTCTAAATTTTCCAGTTTTCAACTTCCGTTTTCTCGACTCAGGTAGAACCAAACCTAACAAAACTTCGTAAGATCACTAAACAAGAGGTGGTCTTTCAGGATTTTCGCTCAGTTTAATTTTAATCGTTTTGAATTTTCGGCGGCCATTTTGGAAAAAGGTCTATTCATTCTCTACGCTGATTGCTAAAACATGCTAAAAGCTTTTCACAACTAATATTTTAGCTTCACTTTTGTTGCATAGAGAGGCTGTTATAAATTATGTTCAATTAGCACAAAGACCTTTGCTTAACCTTAAAAAACACACATTTAATTTAATTGATGCTCTATGATGATTGCTAAAAGCTTTTTCACAGCCAATATTTTAGCTTCGCTGTTGTAGCATACCTTAAGGATACCGAGGCTTCTTGCCGAAACAAGCCATAAGCCCACACACGTGCGCACACACTGCGGACCTATTTTAATTAGAACTTCTCGGCAAACTGACTAAAGACACACTGACGTGTTTTGAAAGGGTAAACAATATAGCTCAATCCAGCTGTCTTTAATTATGAGTCGTGTTTTGATTCTCAGACTAAAATAAAACGTTTTTCACTTACTATACGACTAAATTATTAAACATAATTGTTATATGACAAACTGGTCCATTATGAAAAGGAGCATTCTGATTGGTTCCCTGAGCCATCCTAATTCAGCAATACAGACTGCTAAGATGGACCGTTTTTGAATTAATTTTGGCATTGCTTCTTCGTCTTCTGGGACGTCCACAAATTCATCCTGAAGCTACTGAATTGAAACGTCAACAACGGATTCCAAATGTGTTTCTCAAACATTTGCGCTTTCTATAGATATCTTTATTAGAAAGGAACTTAACATTGAATTTCACTTTTGAAAATTTATTTTAAAATGTGGTAATTTTGGTTTCAAGACAACAAAAAATAGTCGCGTCGGCTTGCATTTATTTGTGCGCTAAACTGAAGAGCGACACACACCTGATCGGGTGAAAGAGACGTTTTGAATATGTTGAATTACACCAACTTAAGCGCTGGAACCAAGTCAGTGGATAAAATTTCTGGTCCTGGCGTTATTGTCATCGTAAACTGTGCCATAAATATACAGTTGATGCTCATAGCCATTGTGGGCAACGCTCTGGTGCTGACTGCCATATGGAGAACTCCTTCGCTACGGCGTTCGCCGTCAATTATTTTCTTAAGCAGCCTCGCTGTCTCGGACCTTCTAGTTGGTTCTATGGTTCAACCACTTTTCGTCGCCAGCGGACTTGCCCAAGACGACTTTCTTGGACGCCTCTGGCTCAAGGTTGGTTTTGTGTCCTGTGGCGTCTCTCTCAGTACAATGGCCGTCATAAGTTTGGATCGTTTTCTAGCTCTTCATTATCACGTGAAATACGTTGAATTCATGACTAGATCTCGAGTCATATCCATCTTAATAACAATATGGCTTCTCAACTTCCTTCTGCCTTGCGTTTACATTTGGAATCCAACCACTTACTATCAACTCGCGGCAGGAGCCATTTGCGTTTATCTCTTGATTTCGACATTTTCCTACATTGGAATTTATCGTATCGTCCACCACCATCAAACACATATTTTTGCTCAACATCAGGCAGCGCAACTGGCTGATGGAAATACTTTGAGCATGATGCGTTTGAAAAGAAGCGCAGTTAACACGTTTGTATTTTACATCTTCATGATTTTATGTTATATGCCTGTGTTTGTAGGAATGACTATTTCTTTAACTATAGGCGCCCGTCGAGAAAATTCCCGAGGCTTTGGAACGACAGCGGTGTTCATGAACTCAGCAATTAACCCAATTTTGTACTCTTGGCGCCTTGTCGAGCTTCGAGCGGCAGTTGTGAAGACAGTACGAAACCTGGTTTGTAAGCGTCCCTAAATCTTAGAAATACCACATGTTTCCTTTTTTCACATTACGCATATTCTACATTACGTTTTTCTATTTTCCTATATCGTTTAGTGCCTCTTAAAGGGATATTTGTGTACATTAACACAGTTTCATCTGTTCGGATTATTTCGCTGAATATTAAAGTAGCAGACATTTTAAGTGAACAAAATCTTATTACTTCGAATTTACGAGTTGCTGTTGCCTTAAGAAAATCATAGTTGGACTTTGTTTATATGCAAAACGATTTGTTTTATCTCTTTGAAAATAACAGGATTAATTTTCCCATATTTGGAAAGTTCGAGGTCACATTTCACGAAATAAACCTGCAGTTTTCATCCTACTTTAATCTGAGGCTTAATATCTGTGGCGATTATAGGCTTTCTGAACAGATATTCCACCTTTGAGCGATCCGCTGGATTCTCTTGGCTGGTTGATTCATGACTAAAAACTAGTTCCTAAACAAAGCTAACCTGCAGTACGGCGATTTAGGGTTTAAGCCGGAAAGCGTAAAGGTAAGAACGTATTCTATTGACCATAGACTTTGATAGGGCGGCAGGTGTATTCAATGTCATAAAATTCGATTTGTATTCATTTCTGGCCGGAAAAACGCTTAAATTCACCAAACTGCACTGCCAAGAAGGTATTTGAAATAGTCGTTTTACCGCTTAGAAAATGTTAGTGATGTGAATTGACGGTGCATACACGATACAAAGATAAATATAAACGTTATGCGTTAAACAGATTAGATATTATATATCTTGATGTAGACATTTAGCGATCAGTGAAATGAAGAAAAATATGCATAATAAACTGATTTCATGTTTCAGTGACTATAGTGACAAGATACGAACATTTTTTGTGCTTTTTTTCTATTCCTTTATGATTTTAATGCCTTTTGTTTTTAACCATTAGCTTGAATCTTGCGGACTTTCGCACTTGAATGCGATAGCAAAATTGTTGCTCGGTATATCACGGCGTAGTAGCAATGAACAGAACAGAACAAACAATGGTTCAGATCCCAACGATGATCTGTCTTGCTGGGTAACTGACAAAGGACCAAATGTCGAGCTAATATTCGCTATGAAAACTTTCGGTAAAAGAATGGTTAAAAAACTTTAAAATTAGTTTAGACTTCTGTCAGTTATAAACCTAGCTCGTTCCTTTCGGTTTCCGAAGAATCACTGATTTACTCTCAGTAAGCCTGGTTCACACTTGCGACGCAAGCATAAGCATAAGAGTGTTCACACCTGCGATAGGCACAAGTACAAGGTGACATACGCAAGCGCAGTGGCAACATTCAATATGGCGGATCGCGCGCGCGCTTTATTGTGCTTTATACTTGCGTTAAGCATTACTTACTTACTTAGGCCCGTCGCTCCAAGAGGAGCATAGGCCATCAACAACAGCTCGCCAACGAACACGAGCTTGAGCTGTTCTCTCAACATCTTTCCAGATGGAACCAATTAGTTTGAGCTCTGTATCAGTGTCCCGTCGCCAGCTGTTTCGGGACGCCCTCTCTTCCTCTTCCCCTGCATAAGCATAAGTATAAGAAAAAGGGAAGATTTCCTTTTCTTATGCTTATGCTTATGCTTATGCTTATGCTTGCGTCGCCCCGGTTCACACTACGCATGCTTATCGGCTTATGCTAATAGTAGGTAGAAAATTATCCCAAAATCCCGAAATTGGTTCATCATCCTGCTGTTCATCATCGTCTTGCCAACCGGCCTCAGTGGTTCTTCTCGATTATAATTCCGAGTCCGTATTCCAGTGAAGTCATCATTCCATCTCATTCGTTCCGTCTTCGTCACTGGTTAGTCGGTACAACGCTCAAGATGGCGGATCAATTTGCAGAGAAATCGCGATGAAAAACTGGCTGAATTCTTCGAATTCGGCGTCTTTTTGACTTGCGTGTGATAAAATTTAACAAATTGCCACTAGGAAAAACTCAATGCTGACGAAATTTGGCACAGTTTTTGTCCACATGTTAAGTAATCTTCCTGCATTTAGCCGCAAAAAAACATTCAATTTGAAAACAATTAGGGAGTCATGTGCTTGATTTTAATGCATGTTAATAATTAACACAGTATTTGCTGTTTCACTGCGGCTAACTCATATTTGATGTATTTTCTTCATAACTGTTTATAAACAAAAATTATGACTACTAATTAAAACATAAACCTAAAAATTAGAAAAAACTGATTTTACACCGCTACTATGATGAAATTCGCATCTGTCCTATCTAGCGAGGTAATCAATTTCACACATTTCCGTTACGAAAATGAAAATGTCGATTTCAGAATCTGTTTCTCTGATAAAAATGACTTAACAACTTCTTCTATGGAATTATAAATGGATTTGAAACAGTTCTCAAAAAGGGTCCTTTTTCGGAGCATTTTTTGCCAGTTGTACTACCGTAGCGAAAAGAAAGCCTGAAAAAATTCAGGCTTGGACAGGATTCGAATCCCTGATCTTTACGATACCAGTGCAGTGCTCTACCTACTGAGCTATCAAGCCAACTGGGAGCTGGTCATATTGTGAGTTGTAATAAACCACCCTTGCGTTATATGTTACATGGATCCCCATCCATGTTCTTAATTGTCGTGTATGATCAATTTGCTTCCGCGTTCGTTCATCTCCTTTGTGTGGAAAGTTAGCGTTCCTGCCAGTCGTAGACAAAGCCGCATAATTATCATGTCAATAAACGGTACCGATCACAGTTCCACGAAGTATCGACAGCTAGGTCAACAGGTCACCAAAGCGCAGTATATTAGAATTTGTATGGAGCTGAAATTCGATCGAAAATAATTTTCACTTTTCTTTCGAAAAGTTGTAAATAATGTGAAAATAAAATAAAGTGTTGAAACCTCGCCTGTTGTCTTTTCCTGTGTTTTTATCACTTCCGGAGGCCGTTTTGGGCGAATTTCTAATCCGCCACTGTAGCCGTACTAATTGAGAAGAACAATTCTTCTCTTATAGTACGCTACAGTGGCGGATTCGTCCGTAGGTCGAAATTCGCCCAAAACGGCCTCCACTGACAAGCGATAAAAACACAGGAAAAGACAACAGGTGAGAACACTTTAATTCACATTATTTACAACTTTTCGAAAGAAAATTAAAAATTATTTTCGATCGAATTTCAGCTCCAAACAAACTCTAATATACAGCGCTTTGGTGACCTGTGTTCTCGCCGGGGCCCGCGCGAACAAGCAACCTAATTTTCCTGACGGGCCCAGTTGCTTTGGGCAACGGCGTGCGCTGTCACTGACCATGTATACAAAGAGGTTTATAAAGGCTCGAAAAAAATAAAAACTGACTCGTAAACATACGTATTACACAACTTTCCGCTGAATAAATTGTTTATTATACGACATATTATTATACGACATAGCATTTTGGAGTGCGGATACGCACAAAGACGAGCGCAGATATATAAGATGTTATTGAACTAGCGTGAGGTCCGTATTGGAGAAATATTGGTCGAGTTCTTTTTTTGCAAGTTTATGGACCTCGCCTTCGGCTCGGTCCATAACTTGCAAAAAAAGAACTCGACCAATATTTCCCAATACGGACCGAACAAGCTAGTTCAATAAAGTTTTTATTATAATGGCTTTTTAAAAACTTGCTGATAAATTAATGCAACCATTCTCGGCTAACGCGCGCGCGCCAAAGCTAAGCATAGTCTTGCATTTTTCAGGCCACTTTGCGAAAAGTTTAACCGAAATTGTCCGCCAGACACGAGGAAACATGTTTCTACTTAATAGAAAACATTTTGCAAAATACGGTCCGTATGACCAAAATATCGGTCCGTATTGCAAAATACGGACCGCTCAGGGAACCAATCAGAATGTTCCTTTTCGTCGTGCACCAGTTTGCCATATAATAAGAGACCGTATTACATAGATCTCAGTCCCCCTGACCGCGCGCTACGGAAAACTCTGTTGAAAGCCTATATTTTTGGAAAGAATTATGTCGTATAATAAACAATTTATTCAGCGGAAAGTTGTGTAATACGGCTGGAATAACCTCTATATATCTTTCCTAAAATATAGGCTTTCAACAGTGTTTTCCGTAGCGCGCGGTCAGGGGGACTAAGACCCGTGTAATACGGTCTCATATTTGCACTCGTTTTGGTGCGTATTCGCAATGCTATGCCGTGTTAGTATAGGAAATCGTATGAACTGCTCGTGCAATTCGTGATTTATGGGCACGAGTGATGTTTTGAAAGTTCTCAAAATTGCACGAGCCTTTAGGCGAGTGCAATTTGAGAACTTTCAAAACATCACGAGTGACCATAAATCACTAATTGCACGAGCAGTTCATACGATTTTTTGTTTATAATATTCTCAACAAAATTTTGCTGCGGCTATCACGCTACTCTGCACACGAAACGCTTCACTGGTTTCCAAAGTGCTCACATGTTTTATTCGAACGCGTAGGCAAACCAAGCGTGAACTTTGTGAAAAATAAGCATTAACCTGAAAGCTTATTTCATGTCATTAAGCGGCAAAAACGTCTCTAGCTACTTGTCCGGTACCGTTTATCACAATTCCGTGTTGCACTCTATAACCTAGTCTGAAGTGTCAGCCGTCTCCTCGCTCTAACCCCCCCGTGGGCAGGCGAGAAGAACGTCTGAAGGCCGAGCGTTATAATGTCGTCCGGTGACGTCACGCTCTAATTTATGACAATGTTGCATTTTAAAATTTCATTGAAAACATGTTTGTATATTATACACACATCGCGGCTTGCCAGTTACAAATTCCCATACACGATATGCCTGGATATGGTTTTATTCTCGTTCTTTCACCCGCAATCGATGAGATATAAAGCTTAGGAATCGGTCCATGGAACGCGGAGTGAAATTAGAAGGGGAAATTATGAAGACATTACACGACTTACACATGATGACGGACAAACGCTAGATCAGATGCTCTTGCAGATAAACACAGTGGACGGCCGCGGTAAGACTTAACTGAGTTATTTGGCTTGCCTTGACCTTGAAATAGTTCGACTTTGAGAAAATGTACATGTCATTCCTTTAGTGATATACACCAAGCTTGAGAAAACCGAAGAAAAAATATTTTTAACGCACCGGGAAACCGGATACATCACTTCTGAGTTTGGCGTACGTGCTTATTACAATTTTTCCTCGCACCACGTTCACACCTCCCGCCGGCATACTTTGACAGCTTTTGCCTTTTGTGACCAATAAGCAATGGTCATCTATATTATCGGGAACCAATTAGATAGGACACCAATCAAAATCTACCTACCATTTCCGCAAGAGTACGTGACGTCACGGACGACATTATAACGCTCGGCCTTCAGACGTTCTTCTCGCCTGCCCACGGGGGGTTAGAGCGAGGAGACGGCTGACACTTCAGACTATCTATAACCTATTTATGCATTCGTCATTGACCAATCAGTAGCTCCATATTTTGTTGAGTATATTATAATAAATGCAATTATTGAGCTTCCTTCCCAGTTCACGTGTATTCTGTTTTTTTTTCGTGAATTAAGAGCAAGGGCTCCAGTGGGAATTAGTTACTATTTTGACCGCTTCGTTTGTTTATTTAAGGCTTTGTAATATAAATAATGACATGGACTCTTTATTTTAATATACGTTCCATTGTGTGCGACAGCTTTTTAAAATTCAAGCCTCGGCACGGACGCGCACTTTTCACTAACACCAGGAAACGCGCCGCTGAATTTTTGGATAAAAATTATAGCTTACAATACTTCAAGTGAGCCGGAAAATTAGTTAAAAGAGCGACCTAGTCCTGATCGAAAATACAAAGGAAAAGCAAACATTTATTTATTTTTATATTTATTTTTATATATTTATTTATTAATAAATATTTATTTATTTATTTATTTATTTTTCCTCCTTATTAAAATAATGTAGATAGTATATACTATATGGTTCCGAATGTATGTAATTATTACTTTTAGATGCACGACCCCATAAGCTTGTAGCTTTTATACTTATCGTGTTGAAATAAAGGCTTTGTATTGTATTGTAAACCTAAATTTGCAATTTAATGAGGCTCTAATGAGTTTGTATTTAACCACCTGTACACATAATTCGAATCTGCCATGAATACCGCGCATCTCGAACAAGAAAAGGATTTAAACCGTTTATATCTTTACTTATTCCGACAGAGAAACAAGTAGTTAACCGAAAAACACATGTATTTTACAACAACTGCGTTGTAGCTAATCAGTTACATGTACGCTAATTAGGATCTGTGAGCAACTCTTTAATTACATGCAAGCTGAAAAGTTTGTTTTGAATCTGACGCTTACACTAGCTTGATGAAAGCTTGCGCCTTATCAGGTTAGAACTATTCATCAGTATATGTGTTAAGTTCAGCTACAAAACTAGATTCAATCTGAATATTACTTCACCGGACGAACCAACAACTCAGTGGCAATTCGCGCACATAGCTAATTAGCAATTGAGTATAAGCTTACTCTATTTCAAATTACACTGTCAACTCTCCTTATAGCGGACACCCTCGGGACGTAGTTTGGAGTCCGTAATAGCGGGAGTCCATAATAGCGGGAGTGATTTTCAGTCAAACCTCTGTAGCTTCCGCCGAGGGGAGGGCTGTATTTTGTCCGTCGGAGTGTCCTTAATAACGGGGTATCCATGCCAGAAGGTGAGAGTTGACTGTGTTCACCGTAGCCTCACAACAGACCATGTAATTATACGGAACGATTCTAGGCTTCACAAACCTTGTATATTTGCTCTGCTCCAGTAGTTTGAATCCGAAGGCAGCTCTTTCAGGACATTGTAGTTAGCTATCGTGACAAGGATGAAGACAATCGTGGTAAAAACAAGAAACAAACATCCGCATGATCTTCGCGGCCACCATGACATTATTGCTACGAGGAAAGACTGGTAACTAGCAATGCAAGGCTTCTGTATGTATTCAAGCGTAAGGCGGCACTTAAGGTATATTGGGCTGACAGGTCAGGTCTCCGATCTTTTAGAATTTTACACATACGTTTTAAGGTTATTCCATCGAAATAGAAGTTACACTGGGAAGTTTCTAAAACTTTCCCTAGTTGAACATTGTGATGTAATGTTTCAAAATATAGAATAAAAAGAATAGGTCACTAGCCCCGCGAAAGAGATATAATCGACTAAAATACCTCATAATTCCTTAAAAAATCAACCAAAAACACGTATTTTTTCACGTTTTCAGTGATTATTAATTTGTCTGCACTGAGAATTGGTCTATACTCCTTGCATAGAAAGAAGATGATTACTAGACTTAAATATGCGAAAAAAAATGATAGGTCCCCACGCTCGTTTACGAGAAAACGATCATTTACCTCTCTGGCGAGCATAGCCATAATGAAAAAGCCGCCATGTTTTTAATGTGCGCGCGCTAATTACGCGCGAAATGATGCGCAGAAAGGATGCGCAGTGCAATACTAAGGAATGACCTTAAGTGATATCAACCTTAAAAAGGGTAGGTACTATGATGCGGCAGTTGAGACAGACGCAA